CAGTCACCCTTAAACAATTTGTGGGTTGTAAATATGAGTACAAACACAGCACAGAACAACCTTCATCTGCCCAGCAGCTCCTTCTAGCATGAGTGTCTAGCCCAGGGCAGGCCAGGTGATCTGGCTGGCAGAAGGACAACCCCTTTCTCCTCCTTGCTCCACAGTGTCCCTCCGTCAAAGAGAACTGCCTTCCTCATTAAAGAGGCCATGCTTCAATCAAGAGTCTACCAATGTGATCTGGTTAACTAATAGAGCAGCTCTCATCAAAATAAACCCTGGGCTAAAAACAGGAGAGCCAACCCAAACGTCAAAGCTAATTCCTTACCCAAGTCTGTTTACCTCTCAGGGCCTCAGGTAACTTGTCTGAAGAAAAGGAGTCTAGAATTTAGAGTAGATCATCTCCTGGGCTCCTTGCACTTTTCTCATTGATCCCAGGAACCCTCAAGACACATCATCTTTAGCCTGTGGCCTTCCCAGCAAGCTAGTCTTCTAGTAAACAAACCACAGAAATCCTTCCCTTTCTTATTTTTCTCCCCCTTTCCTTTCTCTGACATAACTAGCATCTGTATTGGGGGAGGATCCTCAGCTGAGGTGTGAACTAAGAACAATTAACTGGCCGAAGCAGTGACAGGGCCCAGTACCATGCAGGGAGGGCTGGCATCAGAGGATTTGCTGTGTTCTTGGTTGTTATTTTTGACACCTCACTTATATGGAAGCTGGGTGAGGTGGCATGGTGCATCAAACATACTTCTGTGAAATCTCAAAAAGGAATATTTAAAACACACACACATACACACACACACACACCACAACAACCACTTCCTAGTAAGCCAACACCTCCTCTCCTTGTGAAAAAGAGCCTGGCCCTGTTTTAGTGTGTGGAGGTGGGGAAAGGGGAGAGCATTATGCCCTGCCTACCTGGGCACTGAGGCACTGTGAATGCAGAGGCCATTTTCATCTAGCCTTCAGAAGTTTCCTTTTGTGGCATCATGGTGTTAAAAATATTCCTCCCTGAAGGTGCAACTGCGGCAGAGCAGATGTCCCTGACTGAGCACTTGGGAAGGAGCTATTAAAAGGAACATAATTAGGTTGTCATCCTGGGGCCTCCGAGCCAGCCTCCTGAACGCCATCTTTGTTGAAAGTTTTCCAGACGTCAAATATTTGCAGAACCCGATTTACCAAAAAGGCTGTTAATACCCAGTAGGACTGGGCTGCGTGCAGCAAAGGCAAAATACAGTGTGGGTCAAGGTTGGCATCAGGCTCCTTTTTCTGTGTCCTTTCCCCATTTTGGGCCCTAGCCTAGCTCCCTAATTTTCTCTCCCCTCCTCCACGCATCACGTCCCATCACAATTTGCTCTTAGGAAAGACTCTATTAGTCATTTACCCCTTAGCGTGAATGTAAGTAAGCCACCGAGCACCTCTCTCCTCTCCAGGAATGTGGGATTCATGCCTGAGCTCTGTACACTGTAAGGAACAAAAGGCTTTGTCTCCTTGTGTAAAAGGGATATCAGGCACTGGAGTGCAGGTCCAGAGGGCTGTCCTAGTGACCCTGAAATTGCACTAAAGGCTGCCACTTAATCCTAAGTATAGAGCTAGCCCATCCTGCCCTGGAGACATCTGCTGTAGTCACTCCCCTCCTGCTGTTTAGATCCTGCAGCCTCATCTGTCCCTCCATCATTGTTGTTCATCTATCTATGCATCCAACATCTATTGAAAGTCTGTGGCAAGAATCATGCTGAGTGGGAAAGGGGGTGGAGAGCATCTATAGCCACCATCCTTGTTGTCATGGAGGGAGACAGCATAGATGGAGAAGGACACTCCCCAAATAATTACAGTAAATGTAAACAAAGAAGGAAGTACATGGTGCTGTGAGGATGTATCAGAGAGGAAAGTGATCAGTTAGGGAAGTCAAGGCAAGGAAGATGGCCCAGATGAAGTGATGACTGAGTTGAGAGCTGGGGGGAGAGTGTGTGTGTGTGTGTGCGTGTGTGTGTGCATGTGTGTGTGTGTGTGTGTGTGTGTGTGTAGAGGGATATGTGCTCTATGATGAGCTCTTTCAGTTGGAACAGCTTGTGCAAAGGCCCTGGCTGAGACTGAGAGTAAATAACACGATTTTCATGTGATCTTTCTCCTACTGGACTTTAGGAAACATCAAGGATTAAGGTTACAAAATAAAAAGGCAGGGGGAAGGAAGGAGAATCTGAAACTGGTTTCTGAAACCCTTTATAGAAGATGGACCTCTTACAGGTTGTTGAGATGTGGCTCTACAAACAAATAAATCAGGCCAGGCTTTCTTTGGTGACAAAGAGAGCTGGACCTGGCCCCCTCTTCCTGGACGCTCTCTGTGATATTCTGGCCTGCTTCTTACCTTTTAGAAATATATCATGGTGGGGTGCCTGGGTGGTTCAGTCAGTTAAGTGTCCAGCTTTGGCTCAGGTCATGACCTTTTGGCTCATGGGTTCAAGCCCCGAATCAGGCTCTGCACTGATTGTGCAGAGCCTGCTTGGGATTTTCTCTCCTCCCTCTTCCCCCACCTCTCTAGCCCCTCCCCCCATAAATAAACTTAAAAATATATATATCATGGTCATTTTCCCAGGTCAGGAAATATATTTTGTAGTAAAACTGTTCATGGCTACCTAATATTCCAGAGTAGAGAAAGCCACGGTTTCACTCAATGAGCCCCCTCTTGTTGGACTTATTGCCAATGTTTTGCAATCCTAAGTAGCTCTTCCATGAATGAAGAAGCTTGTATATCATCTTGCCCACTCTTTTGACTTTTTCTTAGGATAAATTTTGCTGCATATTAATACATTTGAGGACCAGCTTTACTAAATACAAGTTTTCTTAACTACTTGCCCTGTACTTACCCTGTACACCCAATCAACTCATGGTGCTTTTCCCACTCTGCACAGGAATCCCACTGGATCCTCATGCGTCAACTCAGTGAGTTTGCAAAAAGGGATGGGAGGAGTGTCAGCAGCAAAGAACCGAAGTGGGCTAGGTGCTAGGTGGGCTGGGGGTAGCAGGTGCTCCATCACCACTTACCTCTTTCTCCACCTGTTCTTCCCTATCATAATGGCCCAATCTGTCTGTGTTGGTGGAGGGCTCGGCCCTAATGCCCTAGTGCTCAGCACTCTACTTCACCCTGAGGTGAAGAGACAGAGCCTCAGACAGAGCCTGAGGGTGGGAGGGGTAGAACCTCCAACAGTGAGCTCTCTGCAGTTACTTTCTCTGGAAGGCTCACCGCCACCACCACCACCCCCTCCCTTCCCCCCTCGCCAAAGATATAGGTCTGCCTGGAATACATGTTAAAAGAGAGAATTCCTAAAGGATACCATGCTAGGAAACAGGAGACCAATCTGTGGTTAAGCTTTTGTTACAGATGTATTGTATAAATCATCTCATCTCTCTAGTCCTCTGTTTCTCCATCCATCACATGGAGTTAATTCTCTTTTATCCCTATTTGACCAAGATGATGCAAAGATGAAATAAATAAATACATCTACTTAAAATGAGCTAATCAATAAGAAACTAAATAGAAATACACGGGCAGAAAAGAAGAAACCAAGATTCAGTAAACCATAGCAAGTAAGTGGGCTTTGTGTTTTGTTCACTTTTTTACTGCTAGTGCCTAGAACTGTGCCTGACACTCAGTAAATATTTATAAAATGAATGAATAAACACCTAAGCACTTACTCTATCCCAGACACCATGCTAGGTATTTCATAAGCATTATTCCACTTAGCCTTCACAAGTAGCTCTTTACCAATAGAGTGTAAAACACTACCATTCAGTAGATATGAAAGTTAAGGCTTATACTGGTTAAGTAACCTCCAAGCATCATTCAACTAGCATTGGACAGGATTTAAACTTGAATGTAAGTTCTTCTGATGCCATTCCCCTAGCTTTTCCCACCTCTGTTATATGTTGCAGGGGGAAAGTTACTGTGATGTGTGGCTATGCATTACATGAGCTAGTCTTTATTTAAAGCTATAGCACATGGCATGCAGTTAGTGTTCTATGAATGTGATCTATTATTACAGTACTCTTATTTATTAGTTCATATTTTTTTATAACCACGTTGTAAACACCTTGAGGCCAGGGGTCATTCTCTACAAGGCCAGGCAAAGTAATTGCCTGAAATACCAATTAACTAAATAGCATTATTTTATGATGATCATAAAGTGGAAGCAGAGGTGCTTCCTATAAGGCAGGGCTTGGTGCTTTAGGGACAAAGTTAGTCTGACCTTGAAGCAAGAGTAGGCCATGATTGTCCAGTGGCTTGGAATCCTGGTAGTCAACAGGGAAACAGGTAGAGCCAGACACCAAGGAAAAGACTGCAGCCAACACAGAGGACTCCTGAAGCCTGGGCTCTGACCTACTGCTGACAGCAAGCGATCATTCTAACAGCCTCTGGCCCCGCCCCCAAAGCCTGCGATCTGATAGGCTTAGCATCACACGAGTGGGAGGAGCCTTGGAGAGAATCTGACCCAATCCCCTGACTCCACACTTGCGGCCTGGGACTAGGGTGGTGCTGGAGGCGACTTGACTCAGGAACAAATGTCAGTTACTGGAAAACTTCCCTCCCCGCCCAAAGGCAATGCAGGAAAAGGGATTTAGCATTTAAGTCTCTGACTTTGCCCTTTACTAGTGCGGAGCCTCAGCTATTTCATCTATAAAATGGAATAATAGTTCCTTTTCCATAGGTTGTAGCAATTAAACAAAATGTGACATGGAAAAGTAGGTAACAAGTGGCCTAACACATGGCCAGTGCTCCAAAAAATCACTGCCTCCAGAGAGCAATCTGCCTGAGGGCAGGAACTGTATCTGAATCACAGCTTGCCAGGGGGCTCTGACACATTTATTTGTTAGTATAATGCTTGTTGAATGGCTGGAATCCCTCCATTAATGCTTCATCTCTTCTGGTAAGCCTAGCATGGTTTTAGGCCTCTCTCAAAATTTCTAAAACGACTCACCCTATTTCTTTTCCCCTCTTCCAGAAGGGCCTGAGGACAACATGAAGGCCTGAATACCTGGAGAGGAAAAGGGGCTACTTTCATAACAAAGACAAATTCATGGTGTTACCAGTCCCTCCCTGGCTGCTTGCACCTTCATTTTGGACCTTCTTGCTCCCCACTAGTACAGCAGCAGGCTTCGCCCCGCTGTGGACTATATGAAGGATATTAAAGACAGCATCAGACTGCCAGGATCTTGGAGGTGTTGAGTTGTTGTATTCTGGTTAAAATTAGGGAATAAATAATTTATTTATTTATTTTTAATTTTTAATGTTTTTTATTTATTTCTAGGGGAGAGAGAGAGACAGCGTGAGCAGGGGAGGGTCAGAGAGAGAGGGAGTCACAGACTCTGAAACAGGCTCCAGGCAGTCAGCACAGAGCCCGACGCGGGGCTCGAACCCACTAACCGCGAGATCATGACCTAAGCGAAAGTCGGACACTTAACTGACTAAGCCACCCAGGCGCCCCGGGAATGAATAATTTAAAGGAGTGGTTAGTAGTGGGGCATTAAGATTAGAATTTGGAGTTAGGATTCAGTAATTAGTTACCATTAAATTTCTGAGTGAGAACTGGAGAGTTGCTAGTGGCCAGATATGATGGGGGCCACCACTTTGATCTGAATTTTAAAATGTCCTGTTTGAGACCTGCCTCCTTCATTATGGAGAGCCAGAGATTCCTGTCCTCTGAATGGCTCCTCAGTAGCCCTGGGTGTACCTATCTATAAATGGAACACGTTAAGCACCTACACACCCCAGGTATAAAGTCTAGCATATAGGGTCCTAAAGGTATCTAGGTCAAAGCCCCCTACAGTGAAGCTCAGGAGACCAGGATGTGAATGACCTGCAATAGGCTCAGCCCTACCGTACCTCAGTGACTTTGGGAAAACGTTACCTTTCCAAGCATCAGCTTTTTCATCTGGGAAATGGACTTAACCTCAGAGGGCTCTTTGGAAAGCCTTGAATCATCACAGAAGGAAAGGACTTTGAAATGAACAGCTCTGCCATAGTAGGCTGTTCCAAAGTGAACTATGAGGCAAAATCTGGGCACCTTACCTTCTGGAAGGGTTGACGGTCTTCCTCTCCTCCCCAAAAATCTAGGATTTCCCAAGACCATTTCCAGTGGGGACTTATGCTTCTGAACAGGAAATGACAAAGAAGCAACTCACGCCAAAAGCTCCCTGATACACACACACACACACACACACACAGCCAATCCTTATGGGGTTGCAGTATGACCAATCCTATGAGTCACCTGGATAAAGTAAGGACTCAACAAATATTTAACGAATGAATGAATGAATGAGGGAATGGATGAGTGAGTGGCTCCATTAATGGGCAGACACTCCCTTAGAGAATGAGACGGCTTCCTAATCCAGGATGCTGAGTGCTACCAAAGGAAAACATTTGGGACTTTCCTAGTGAGTGCTTCATTTCCAAGCCATACCCTCTACTTTTCCTCAAGCCACATGTGTCGTCTTTTATCCCCAACATCATCATGGGGGATGTATATGCTAGACTCTATACCGGGTATGTAGTAGATGCTCAACAAATGTGTGATAAACTGAAGGAGGAGTTACAATGATAAACAAGACTTGGACCCTGCCTTTCAAATGTTTACAATGTAGTGGGAGAGAAAAAGATAGGTATGTAAGCACTACATGATAAAGCATCATAGGTAACTGATAACCAATCAGGTGCCAAGGAGGGTATGCTATAGGAGGTCAGAGCTGAGAAAACTTACTCTGGACTGAAAAAGTCAGGGAATGCTTCCTGAAGAAAGGGAAAGAGATCTGAAGCTGGACCTTGAAGGAAGAGAAAGATTTGCAGGCAAGGGAGAAGGTGTTGCTGATAGGGTAAAAGGAGGTGGCCAGCTCCCCAGAGGAAGGCCAGTTCATGTTATACTCCAGTTTGTGTAGATTTAGTGTAGTTGGAGAGCAGGTTCAAGCAGAAGATTGTACCACGTATGTACGTAGGTTGGGGCAAGACTGTACAGAGCTTTGAATGCTCGGGGAAGGGATTGGGATCAGGCAGCTAGGGAAAGCTTTCGACTAGTGGCAGGAAGTGAAAGGAAAGCTGGGAGTGGGAAGATGGTCCTGGGAAGACAGGTAAGGAGCAAGGTGAGTGTGGCAAACTCTGCTGGGAGGTATTGTGCCAGCATGGAGCTGGCCAGACCCGGGTCTCAGACCACTTTCCATTTCATTTCATTGCATTCATTTATTCAGTCAGTTAATATCAATGTTCCCTGTCACCTGCCAGGCCCTGCAGAAGGGAACATTGCAGATAGATGCCTTCCCTCTTTTCCTGGGGGCTCTGGGCTCTAGGCCCTCACCCAAGTGCCAGGGAGCCAAGGGCCAGTGCCTAGGGTGAAATCCGCTCAAACCTCTCACCTGCAGATTCTTTCTACAAAACCGCTAACGCTCACGGTCGAGGTCCCAGGCGCGTGTTCTCCCGACCACGCCCCTCCCCGACCACCCTCCTCCCCCGCCGGCCACACCTGGAAAGGAAGGAACTTCGGGAGGAGAGGGTTGGCCCGTGGAGGGTGTGGCGCGTCCGGGACTGCCTGTAGACCAGGTTGGCCGGAAAATGGGCTGCGCCGGATAAGGGGGCAGATGATGGCTGCGGGTGGCCTAGGAAGGTGCTTCCTGGCGGTGCCCACACACACGCGGAGGCTGAGCCAGCGATTCGGCGGTGGGGCGCCGAGGCGCCCGGGTGGGAGGAGGGTGTCCGAAGGCCGCGGAGCCTGGGCTACTGGCAGACGGCGCAGTTCCTCTGCGCCCTCTGCCGAGCGCCGACCTCCACTGCACACGGCGCCGTCGCCCCTGGGCGCGGCGATTCCGCCTGGCGGCGGGCACGCCCTTGAACCGCTCCGCCAGTTTGGGCCACTTTCTACCCGTTCCGGTGTCCGAGTTCCTTTCCGGGAGAAAGGAGGTGGAATTTTTTTTTTTTTTTTTTTTTTTTTTTTTTTTTTTTTGCCTTCCCCCCCCCCCCCGGTAATAAGAATAGAGGCGCTTCCAGAAATCCCTTCGCTAGCACCTTCTCTGGTGCCTGAAATGCCACCATTAGAGATTCCGCCGTTTGGAGAGAGAGCATGGAGGGGTAGAGAGGCCACTTCTTCAACATTCAGTGGATATTTTAGCAGTGAGGATATTCCACACGTGCCTGGGAAGGGGCCTGGAAGCAGTAGGTGGTCAAAGCCTCCTCATTCCTTCTCTCAGACAGGCTTTCATTAGCCCTCCTATGCTCCGGCCTCCTAAAGGTAACTGGGAGCCAACAGTCATACTGCAGGCGTGCTGGAGTGGTTAGTTTCTCTTGCCATGCTTTGCCTTTTATTAATTCCTAGATTGGGCCTCCCTCCTCCAAAAAGTCACCCTTGACTTATTTGGTGAGTCTTATGGGCAAGGTTAGTATCTCTCAGGAGCACCTGGGTGGCTCAGTTTGTTAAGCTGCTGACTTGAACTCAGGTCATAATCTTGCAGTTCGTGAGTTCGAGCCCCACATCCGACTCTGTGCTGACAGCTCAGAGCCTGGAGCTTGCTTCCGACTATGTGTCTCCTTCTTTCTCTGTACCTTCCGTGCTCACACTCTGTCTCTCAAAAATTAATAAATGTTAAAAGAAAAAAATGTCCTTGGTAAAGGCAGTAAAAATTATTAAAAAAAAAAAAAAAGGTTAGTATCTTTCAGTTTAGCAGGACAGGATCTCTATTTATTTCTCATAAATTTTGCCTGGTTTCTCCAAGTTCATTCAGTACCCAGGCACAGAAAATCCTCATCCGTGGGGACATTTCTCTAAGTAAGAAAGAGGAAGAGAACATAGATTAAAAGGAGCAGATGCTCAGACTTACTGTCCAGCCAAAGACAAGCTCACATAGTCCTCCAAGGCCACTCTTGCATCTAGTCCCACATTATCAGTCACCTTCTTGAGTACCCACCCTGGACTGTGTATACTCCAGAGAGTAGCCAAGAGGTCATGTCAGATCATGAATGCTCTAAAATAGAAGTCCGTCTCTCCTCTCCTCAAAAAAGACTTGAGTAGATTTAGTGTAGTGGAGAGACGATTGAAGCAGAAGCGGTGCCATGTATGTATGTACATTGGGACAGGACTGCAATGGCTCCCCGTCTCGCCTGGAGTAAAGCTGAAGTTTTCTACATTGGCCTGAAGGTTCTAAGTTCTGGCCCCCTACTTCTTTCTTGGAGCCACTCTCCTCCAGCTCTTCCCATCACACTACTCTGGCATCCTCTAGCCCTTGCTGCTGTCCTTGAACACACAAACATGCTCCCATCTGAGGACTTTTGCACTTGCCGTTCCCTCTGTCAGGGATGCTATTTCCCAGATGCCAACATGACCCACTCCCTCACTTCCTTCAGGTATCTATCTAAATGCCACCTTATCAAGAGGGGCTTTCCCTGACCACCCTGGCTAAAATAGCACCCTCCATCACTGTCTATGCACTTAGCCCCCTTGATTTTCTTCTAGCATTTATTAGTACTTGATATATTGTTTATTTGCATATTGTCTGCCTCCCCAGCAAGAATGTAAGCTCCATGAAAAGAGAGAACTTGATCAGTTTCATTCACTATCCAGGACCTAGAAAACAGCCTGGCATGTAATCAGTGCTCAATAAATTTGTGAAATGACTAAATGAATGTGCTAGCCTGGTACTGAGCCAAGTACCAGGGCAACCCATGAATAAGCCTGGGTTCTTGCCCTTGAAGAACAGACTGGCAGACAGGCAAATAATTACAAACCAGAGTGATGAGTACTGTGTCTAAGTACAGATATATATAAAGTACACATGAAGACTCAAGGGAAGAAATAATTCACTCTGCCTGGAAAGAAAAGGAAAGCTTAAGTATGACATCACCAGGTAGAGGAGAAAGGGAAAAGGCATTCCAGGCAGAAAACAGCAAGAGCAAAGACACAGAGACATGAAAATATTTGACTTGTTCAGGGAGTGGCAAGGAGACTGGCCTGGCTAGCGTGCAGGATGTGTGGTGGGTGTGGCAGCACGTAAGTTTGGAAAGATAGATGAAGGACGTATTGTGAAGGGGCTTTTCAGAATGAAGGCAACTTACTCTTCACATATCTGATCCATGCCAGGCCAGTGGGGCATGTCAGGTCAAAGAGCCTGCATCTCATCCCAGACAGGGCACTGTAGAAGCAGCTATGGCCTGCTGCCTGAGGAAGGCCTGGA